AATTATTATATATATTATATAATATATATAATATATATAATATTATATAATATGTAATGATTATTATTTAATATATGTATAATATAATCATATAATGAAGAAGGAGCCGCATCTGGGCATAATTACAGTGGTAAAAAGAATATATGTGGCCAAAAAATGAAGAAGGCGCCGCATAGCACGCGAGTGCACTTCACTTCCGTCATCTTAGACGGTTTAGGGTGTTTCGCGCATGCAAAAAGTACATTACAAGGGGGTTTGACGCAATTTTTAAATTACAGGGGGACAACGCGCAGATTTAGTATAATACAGAGGGGTTTGGTGCAATTTACCCTCTTTTGAGGTAAAGGAAAATTCATTTTCATCTGAATGCTACTGTTGTTTCTGCTTATACTCATTTTATACCAAATACCAAAAAACAGAAAAGAATATTGTAAACAATAAAACCCAGTGTCAAATTGCAGAGCACCAAGAGAAATGGCTGACCTGTTTTTTGTGAGTTCATGTGGCACCACAGGCCAGAGCCTCAAAATTTGTGGCTAGAATCTGTTTGGCCCTATATACTCACAGTTATAGCTTGAGGGCCATGCAAACACTAGGTGGAGAATAATAAGATTTCTTAAATTTCACTCATTTTCTTCAAATCAAGGCAAATCTCAATTCTATTCGTAATTTCATATAACACCTGCGCAATTAACACAATTCATCAAAGGGCTCAAGAACAGGCCACACCTGTCCATGTTTTTGATGAGTTCGAGCTTACATGCCAAAAATGGGGGAAAAAAGTCGCTTAAAATTAGAAAAGCCAAGAGCAGAAAAGAATCATGCCCCGCCAGCCATATCGATATCAGCAACTCCATCAGTTCCCCTGAACAAGACTCGTAATTTCCTCAAACAAGATTGCTTCTTGTCACCTTTGCCAGCCATCCCATTAACATGAACAATATCCTCAGATATTCCACCCATTAGATCGAAAAGGGGCAAATCTAGGTTCGACCGGGTCATCTCTTCTAGTACAGGAGGCGCCTGCATGTACAAGTTATTCCCTCTGTGTGTAACACTCACTCTGGTAAGGAGCAGCCGAGGCTGATCTTCCAGTTGAGCGATGAACTGGTACAAAGGGGAAAAAAAAAAATTGATAAGCAGACAAGTAATATATTCCATAAAGGTTTCACACAGCAAATATGCAGAGTAAGACCTTTCCGAGAGTAACAGACTTTTCCAACTCAATTAGAACGGCAGGACCACAAACAAGACAATCCTTGTCCTTTACAAACTCTGTAACTTTGGTATGAAGACCTTCGACTCCATTATACCTGGGAAAAGATTTGAATTTAACAATTAAAGGTATATTTGAAATTATTGGGGCAAGAATATATTTAGGTGGTGTAAGTATACTAACAAAAGATGAAATTTATTTTAACAAGAATAAATTTCAGAAGTTAGGCATACGTTAGGTAATTCGACAATGTCTTGCTGCAATCGGAAACGATTTTTAGGGTCTCCAGAGCACAAGCAGCTGAGATGATAGCATTGGTAGAAGCAATGGCAGGAATGATGTTTTTCACCACACCCTACAAGTGAGCTACTTGTTAATTGTTATTGCATATGCAACTAGTTATAAGCAACAAATCTAAAGACCATTGTTTCTTGACTTGTAAGCAACAAATGTAATGACCATCGTTTTTTGACCTGGACCGGGCAACCCAGGTCCGGTCCGGTTACGTCCTTTGGACCAGACAACAAAGAACCGGTCAAACCCAGTCGATCATCATCTCAGTTTGACCTGGTATATTTTTTTATATTTTTTATTTTAAAAATAGAATTATGTGTGTATATTTGAGTTGGCAAATATTATTTACGAGATACAACAATATTAAGATTTGAGGTACAAAATTTACATGTAAATTATTTGTTTTGTTACTTCTATGTATACTTAAATAATATAAATAGTATATTATAATCTTAAAATTTCTAAAATTAAATACTCTGTTCAACAATTGATCAAGTGACCCAATGGCTGAAACTGTGACCTGGGCTGGAAGCCAGCCCAGGTCATTGACCAGGTCGGGTCTTAAAGACAACTTACTGTAGCAATACAATAAAATATCACTAACGGTTAGTTAGATAACAGTCTAGTTAGAAGTTTAAACTAGCCAAATGCAAGAACTGAGGTAGAAAGATAAATAAGCACACAAAAAGTAATGATTGAGATACTCATGCTTTTTTACCTGAGTCAAAGAATAAGTAACTCCTTGAATTCCGAAAAGTTCAGCCCTCTTGAGAGCCTGTTAGGATAATCAATCAATCTAATAAATGAGACAAGAAAAGAGGTAATTGCAACAAATTTTTTGTATATTCTTTTCCAAATACTGACAAAAAAAACATAAACTCTGTTATTTTATTACCTCTGAATAAACCCATTGAATGTCTTCAGGGTTATCTGGATCAAAACTTCTGCTACCATGAACCTGCAAGTGCAAAACATCATATGATAATGATCTAAAGAACACAATGGAATCTATACAGGAAAAAATAGAACAATAATATTTAAAAAAAAATTAAAACACATGCTCACCTCATTCCATTTAATCAAATGGGCATATTCAATACAATGAGCAGCAGTTCTTGGGGTTTCAGCTAAGGTACAGAGAGGAAATTTCACTTGTGGAGGAAATAGCCAAATTGTACACTCAAAACAAGGTGTAATTCCTGGAAGTATTATCCTGGCATGGCCCTTGAACCCTTCAGTGCCACCATCCACCATTGGTTTGATAGTACCCTCTCGAGGGTTATCATCAGAATCATATTCTTGTTCATCCAAAAAAANNAAAAAAAAAAAAAAAAAAAACTTAAAGCGCAGCCAGACTATCGACAAATCATCTTTTTTGGTGTTAATGCACTTCAAACACCAATTGTATTGGACTTATGAATATTTGTCCCCGTGAATCACACAACACACACTATACATCATGTATATCATGTCCGATCACAGTGGATCACCAATGTGATCATTCTCTTTGAAGTATTTGCCTAGAAATAAATCAATTCAAAAACTTACTGATCATTACAGCTGTCAAGCAGTGTTTTCTGGAGAAATTCAATAACACACCAGTTAATAAAACAAGAGGTTCAAGCAAAATTGAAATCATGGTTTTAGATTGAATTTGTTGTTATATGTAAATACACCTCTATCATGGGCTGATTAGGATCCTACATGTCTCCATTTATGTGCAGTTGACCAGTCAAGGATAAAAGAAACAAAATGAGATAGGTGCCTATTAGCAAAGGAAATGCAGTGTTTGGTCCAACTCACAGTTATCGTTGTTTCTCACACTAATCAATGAGCAGTGTTTATAACTATCAGCTTTTGATCTACACTGTAGCTTTGAGAATAAACAACAAAATAGCAAAATGGAGGAGAATACAGAAACAATATAAGGAATGTATGATGCCGTCCAAATTTCCAGTTGTACCACATAATTTTTTCATATGAACTCAAACATCTTTTAGCCTGCAAGGAGTCTTGAACGCAATTGCCAATTAGAAAAGAAACAAGAAAGAGCCACCCGAAATAAAGAATGAGCAAATTCATAGCTGAAGGAATGCTTTTCTTGTATATTCTTATGCTAAAGGTTACTCAACTAATCTAGTTCTCTTGTGGTAAGTGGAGATAGGAGTATATATACCCTATGGAGCCTAAACAGCTGGACATATGATTGTCAGGCAGCATGACTTAAAAGTAATAAATGAAAGAATAACAAATTGGATAAACAAGAAAGGCCGGCGTAAGTTTCAAATATGAGTGAAGTCCTTAAGTAAAATTTGAACAAAAAATAAGATGACAAACAGTCATCAAATAGAATATAACGGGAGGGAGAACAAATATGTCATGAAAGTGGTATGGGAGATAATGAAAACAAAACACTAATTCCTACTAAAGCAATAATCAGATAACGCAATTGCTCGGTCAGATTTCTCCAGGTCATCCATTTTAAAGATCCTGAACCAGATTCTATAAAGAGAAGCCCAACCTAGAAATCCACAAGCCACTTCATTTATGTAGCTCCGAGCCTCAATCGAATCAAGCCCAAGGACAATTATGCCAAAATCACTATAGAAATCCAATGGTTTGTCTTCAATGCGACAGAAATGTGGTGTAATATGTACACCATTAATTCTTTCCATGACTCGTTTTGCAGCTACTTCAGCCTTTGGCTTTCCTACATCTTCAAGCCTACAGACACCAAAAGTATACCAATACCTTTTAGCATTAAGCAAAGTTACAGTAGAAAAACACTGTGAACAAATATTGCAAAGAAATTCACAGAATATGTCCCTCAAGCGAACGCGTTTCCTCTAAGCTCATTATGGACTTGCATTAAAAGAAAAAACAAAAATAATGGTTTAACACTCACACCATGAGTTCAGAATCGGAATATATTGAGAACGTTCAGTAAGTCCTAGATAGGGGTAATAACATAGTTTAGGTTAAAATGGGCCAAACTACTTTAATCAGCTAGATCATGGAAAGAGAAGAAAATCATGTACAAACTCATGTTTTATCGAGTAAATAATGCCTAGATAAAGTTTCAAACACACTGAATATCATCAAAACAGGAATAACCGAAAGCCAGCTCAAATCATCACCCATGCAACCCATATCAAAAGTGCAAGATTTTTGAATTAAATTCACATGTATTTCAATCCCAAAATACTTTTCACATGTTTAAGTAAAAACTCTACAAGTTCTTACGCACATTTCGGGTTTGAACAAAGTCCCATAGTTCAATCTTCTTCAAAATTATGGTACAGGATTTTACAGGCTAAAGGAAGTTTTCGTACGACGAAAATATGGTCCATATGGAAATAGGACTTCATACACTTACACAGAAGAAAAGAAAAAGAAAAATGGCCTAAACCTAGAATTCCAACCTACATGTTTGCATACTACTCAACAAAACGTAGCACCTGCATCGGGAAGAAGTTAATCATCAATACCATGAAAAATCCTCAGAATTTAACCAATATCAGCATAACAACCCTAGAATCACCAACACGTAGCAACAAGCAATACAAGTACCTGAAAAGGAACTGCCGGTTAAGATTGGTGACCTCGATGCGGTCCATATCGATTACATCCAGCTTCTTGAACCCAGTTAAAGCCAGATCCTTCAGTAACTCGCAGCCCAGCCCACCTGCTCCCACCACCAAAATCTTCATACATTCCTTTATGTCCTCCCTCAGCTGGACCAATTAAAGCAGAAACCAAAGTCTCAATTCGTTTGAACTAAATTCTAAGCAACCAAACAGGTAAAACAATGTGTGGCAAACCGGAAAGGAAAGAGCAAGGGCAGAGACTTTACTTCTTCGCCGGGTGCAAAGTTAGGGCCAACAATTTGGCCGGGGCGTAACAGGAGCTTGTCCAGGTCTCTTGATCTGCTGGGCTGAGACACCGCCATCTCTCCTTCAGCGCACAAAATCGCGAGCAAGGATCTTTAAACAAGTGAGGAAAGTGAAACTCTGCGCAGGGGCTCTGAGAGCTTGATAGGTATCGAACACGATTCTAGTTCCTCAAAACGATTTTTATTTGTAATTGAAGGGATAGATTAGATACCCCTTTTAAATTGCTGCTATTGGAGAAGCAGCATAACAGGAGAGGAGCGAGGAGACTTGTTGCACGGGTGGCTTCGAGTTTACGCTTAATTCTTTCACCTATGCACCACACCAACTTATTTAAAATGAATGATAAAGTTTGGGCTAGTTTGGGATATGTGAATTTGTAAGAACAATAACATGAAATAGAAAAGTTTAACGAAAACTTTTTTTTTTTTTTTTTCGAGACGATAGATTGTCATTCAACTAAAAAACACAATACACTCCGGAAGACTAATAAACAGTCCCAAAGTTCAAAAGAAAATACATCAGAGCACATTCATATGATGGCCTAATCCCGCTAGCCAAGACTAAAACAAGAACAATACAAATTGAGTTACGGGCAGTAGTCTCCGAACTCTATATAGTTGAGCAAACAATCACCAAAGGAATAACAAGTACTCAAGCTAGACAACAAGAATACACTAGAAATAGTCACTATTGAACCAAAAGGACCTACCAAACAAAACTTTCTTTATTGCTCCTCTCTCAGTCCTGCACTGTGTGAATTCCATCCAGTCTCCTTGAGCAGACTTGAGCACTGCTTGATCAGGCAGCCAAGTGTCTTGAAATTTCCAAATATTCTAGGACTATAACCACCATAGTAGTTAGTTCAATCCTGGCTTCTGAAATTTCTTTTCTATCCACAGAGCAAACATTCCACCACCATTGTTTAAAGGTTCTTGCAACAGATGACTCATTCTAGTCTATTGGTGATAGCTTCCAAATTCTTTTTGCTCTTCCACACTGCGACAACACATGCTCCACTGATTTCATCTCCTCACCACATCTAAACCCCTCTTTTTCAGATTCAAACTAACAGGGAGAGAGTTGTTATAACACTTCCAAATGAAGTGTTTAAGCTTCTGTTTTATCTTAAGCCCCCAGCTTCTACCCCTAACCCTCATCTCCCTCTTGGCAGATTCATTTCCTTCAATAATATCAAATTCTCTCAGCTTGTTAAGCATCAGATGAGAATAAGAACTAGTAACATAAAATTTTCCTTTGCCATCCAGTGACCATAACCATTTGTCATACAACAGAGGATCAAGGGTTTTGATTTTTATAATAGCCTTTTTATCAGCCTGATTAAAACACTCCTCAAGCTTCCTACTATTCTAGGTCCTACAATCCTCTCCAATCAACTTTTTAAGCCAATGTACTCTTCTCATGCCCTTTTCATTCTTCTCAGGTAGTTCATCAACCACACTAGGGATCCATGGATCGTTCCAAATGTTGATATTCCTTCCATTGCTCACCTCCAATTAAAAGAACTGTCTAAACTTGTCCTTTACCAACAACCAATTACTCCATAGCCAGGAAACATTATAAGATTTCTTTGCTTGCAGTACAGAACAATAAGAAAAGTATTTTCCTTTTCAAACTTTAGTAACCAGCAAGTTGCGATGGGTGACTAACCTCCAAATTTGCTTAATAATGAGAGCTTCATTGAACAATCCACATCTCTGAAGCCCAAGCCTCCTGCATCTTTGGGTAATGTCATTCTCTTCCATTCTTTCCAATGAACTCCTGCTTGCTACTCACCTTTACTCCACCAAAAGCCAACTGGTAACCTTGCAATTACCTTCTTATGCCTTTTGGTAAGCAAAAACAAGACAGAAAAAACAGGGAGAGCTCCCAGGACTGCTTTCAACAACACCTCCTTACCAGTACAAGAGAGATATTGATTTTTCCAACTAACTAATTTAGAACTCACAACATTTAATTTTTTAAATATTTTTTAAATTCTGGAGGTATTCATTTCAAATTATAAAACTCTTACAAAATCTTAGGTATTTAACTTATTTGGGATTATGATTTGTATGAATTTTTATGATTTTGGGATTTCAAATAAAAAACCATATACGAAATCGCACTCTAAATCCCACCTCCAAACTTAGAGGATGTATTCATTTAGGATTTCCAATGATTTTTAAGACTTTAAAGTCTGGATGTTTTTTAAGATTATTTATACAAGGAGGTTAAGTGCAAAAATAAAGAAAGTGCTATTTACAAAAGAGAAAGTGCTAGTTTTAGAGAAAGACTTAAAAACAAAAGGTAAATCATTAATCTGAAGGAAAATTAAATATTCTATTACCCCGCTCAAGATGAAAATGAATATTTTGCAGGTTTATCTTGGAAGATAGATGGTGGAAGAGAGACCCTCCAAGTGGTTTTGTGAGAATGTCAGCGACCTGGTCTTTGTTTGAAATATGAAGAACCTTAATAATTCCTTGGGCTACCTTCTCTCTTATGAGGTGACAATCAATCTGAATGAAATATGAAGAACCTTAATAATGTCTTGGGAAACATTCTCCCTTATGAGGTGACAATCAACCTAAAAAGTTTTAAATGTAAAAATTTAGGTATTCGATTGCGTATTGATAGATATGAATACAGTGAGATTTACATGCCTATTTATACAAGGAGTTTAAGTGTAAAAATAAAAAAGTGCTATTGACAAAAGAGAAATTAGTGACAGCCTTAGAGAAGGACTTAAAAACAAAAGGTAAATTATTAATCTAAATAAAAAGTAAATATTCTATTACATGTTCAAGTTGTACATGGATATTTTGCAGGTTCATCTTGGAAGATAAGACGGTAGAAGAGAGACATTCCAAGTTGTTTTGTGGGAATGTCGGCCACCTCGTCTTTGCTTGAAATATGAAGAACCTTTATAATGTCTTTATATGAAATATGAAAACCGCTTAAGACGATTTGCCGAGCTGGTGTGGAAACAAACTGGAAAAATGACCGTCCATTCATGTCCAATCCTAAAAAACATCGTTGTCTTGTGACCTCATGCATGCAACTTTCTCGAACACATATTTCTCACATATGCCCTAAGGTGGCTCATTGTAATTATTGCATTTTCTTTTATAATTTGTATAAAAATATATTGAATTGTACCCAACTAAATGACACATTCAATTTATTATTTACAAAATCACATTACAGACTAATAAATAGTATATTGTCGATCTGTATTTCTTTAGCAACCTCAATTATAGCGTACTTTACGTTCTTGAATATATGATTCATACAGACTCACACTTGGTAATTCTTTGTTATCAATGAGTTTGGTTTGTTCCTATGAAATCTTTCAGGGATTAAAAAATGTCAAATAGAACTAGTTTGTGTTACGTGCCCACTTCCACTAAATACTTTCTTTATTTGTAATTTGTAGGTTACATTATGTATGAATTCACTATATATATCTCTCAATAAACCATTAAAAAAACAACCATATAACTAAAATATAAATATATTGTAATTTTCTTTTTTTAAATAGAAAACAAACATATTACTCCAAATTAATTGTAACTATTAATGATATGGGATACTATATACTGGACCGGTTCGCAGGGCTAATCAGAGAAAGATAGGCCAGTTCGTCGGACTACCTAAGTAAGAATGGGTCAAATGATATGGTCGAGCAAGATCAGACACCTGCCGCGGAGGACATAGAGAAGATAGCAGCGACTAAGGAGATCAGAAGTGGTCGACAGATACAAGTGATTCGAGAAGCTGGTCGAGGAGGGGCGATCGAGGAGGGCGTGGACGTGTAGAACTGGTCAAATGTCGGAGTGCACAAGAGAATCTCCAGCACGTAAAGGAGAGGACACGCGGCAGACTATGAGTGGTTAATAGCCATAACAAACTCTGACATTCTCTGACAAAGGGGACGCGTTTCCTGACACCAAAGATAGTGGAGGCGTGCGGTTGTACGGACGAGCAGAGGACAGTTGGCCGAACTCGCCCATCTCGCGCGTGCAGCTCAGGTAACTTGCCCTTATAAATAAGGGCGAGAATCCTCATTTTCGGTACAATCTCTCATACTCTCACATATTTCACTGATATACTTTCTCTCTCAAGATCTAACTTGAGCGTTGGAGGCTCTTCACCGGAAAACACTTCCGGTGTAGGAGTTTCGTGCAGGTTCTGCGTTCAACCGGCGAGGAGAACGAGTTTAGAGAGACTTCCAGCCGGTCGGGGTGCGAGACTTGTATTATTGGCGCCGTCTGTAGGACTCTCGTTCGAAAAGTTGTGTTCTGAGCTCAGCTATGGCGGACAGAGTTCCTCGAGTGAATTTGCAGTCGTCATTTGATGAAGCGTGGACGACGACAAGACCGATGGGAGCAGGACCTCCACCCGGATTCTCTGGACCATCCCAAACACCGGTGACCCCAACGCCGATGCCCCTGAGTACAGCGATCCCGGGTGGAGAAGAAGGCACGAGCAGGGAGCACGAGGCTCGTGAAGCAGCGCCGATGGCAGTCCTCACACCGCTGCAAGCAGGCCCGGTTGTGACGCAACAGATTGAACCAGCGGTGCAGACAGTGGTGCCACCGGCAGGAGGAGCGCCGCAAATCCCTGCTCAACAAATGGTGACCATGACGAGAGAAGAAATGCAGAGGATGATGGCCAACGCGGCGGCACAGGCTGTGCAGCAGGTTACTCACCAGACGTCCCAGGCTGCTACCACACCGACCACGGTGCCAGGAACACAAAAGGAGGACGTATCGAGTTATGACGGAGGAGGCGAACACAGAGATAGGGCAATGGAGAGGATGGCCGAGCAGCTCAGGCAGCTGCAGGAGAAAGTGGAAGGGAGGCCAGACAGGCGTGCTCGAGGACACCCGTTCTCTAGGGATATCCTAGCTGCACCACTGCCTGCGAGTTTCCGGGAGATAAATTTGATTTTTGATGGGTCGAGCGACCCGTCGAGGCATGTAAGAGCATTTGAAAACATGTCCGTTTTGCACGGGTATTCAGATCCGGTCAGTTGCAGGGCTTTTCTGTCGAC